GTTAATATACAAGCTAGTGCTTCTGTTGTGCGTCAATACTATAATACTTCTGAACTTGAACTTATTCAAGTGTGTAGTTCGTCACATACCTGTGTAATCACTGTGTGTAACATTTTCCTTTGCATTGATCAATCTACCACATATTTTCTAATCCAGCCAGCTAACATTACTAAGGTGAACTATACTTTTTCAAGCCCTAGACTTCATGGGCCAATACTTGCTAGTTTTTGTGGAACGGTTTTGGTTGGAAGTTTTTTTTGCAGTTGCTGTGTCGTTATATTTTTTTGCATGGCTTTATTTTTTCCTTGTGATGTTGACTGTGAAGATGTCTTTTGTGATTGTTTATTTAAAAGAACTGAGCCTGCTCACATTGTGCGCTATGAGCTACAACCTAGACCAGCGGCAACCACAGTCTCACATAGTGAGACCCAGCCGCTTTCTGTGCCTCGACCTACTCCGTCAAGACAGATTCAGCAGGATGATAATAATAATAATAATGATAATAATGAAGACTGTTCCAGAACTTCTCATGAAAGCAGACAAAATATTGATAGATTTGATGAGGATTTAAGTTTAGCATTATACTTAAGCAGTCAAGTTGAGACTAATTCTAATCAAAATGAACAAAGCAACAGTAACTCATTTGTCTCTTTGATTGAAGAGGATGAAGAGAATTGGGATGATTTCAGTGAACACTTACCAACAGAATCTGATAGCATCCCCTTAATTGATTTTTCAGATGATGGACCACTTAACGAAGGTGCAAATCCACCAAATTATTGGGATATAATCAGTCATTCTGCAAATTTAGCTGGTAAGCTCCAGTGATTGCATTGAGATTTATGTTAAAATTATGTGTAGATAAAAATAAAAAACTAATTCAAATCCAACCTGTTTCTTTGTAGAAGTCCCAGCCATGCAACAAAATATGACTGAGCAGTGTGCATCTGCTACAAACAATGAAGACAATAACTTGATTACAGTACATGTAACAAGTCCTTTGGCAGTTATACCTCACATTAATCAGGCTGACCGTGTCCAACCTGTTTCATGTAAGTCTAAGCTAATTAATTATTCCTAATAATAATAACGGTTATTTTCAGTAGTTGATGATATTTTATTACCATTGCCTTCATTTATATTATCATTGCCTTTACCATTGGAGGTTAAAAGTATGTTGAAATATTGCATGACTGCAAGTAATACATGTACCAAGTAAAACAACATTCTTTTGTTGCACCTATAGCTATTAATGAAGAAAGAAAAGAGTTATCAAGTGATAATGATGCATCACATACAGAATCATCATCTGTTGGGCCTCTAACATTATATAAACCACTTCCATCTGACTTTAAGGCAAAATTAGGTATGTGCATTATGTTCATACACAGTTTATGCATACTGAAAACAATTTTGTTTTATTAATGACACATTTTTGTTTTGAAAATTACTTTTATAGATGAAAGTCATGCTCCTGCTATACTCTCTGCCATCAAAGGCATAGTTGATGAATGGGATATTGTAGGAATCTTCCTTGGCATTGATAATGCTAATATAGAAAGGATCAAATCTAATAATAGCAATGTTGATCATCGTCGCAAGGAAATCATTATTGCTTGGCTAAGATATGGCAATGCAACACGTCAGCATCTAATTGAAGCACTGAAAGAGGTCACTAGACCAGACATTGCCCGCAAACTGGAGGAGCTATAATCATTTTTTGGTTGTATGAGATTTAGTTTTGATTTTTAATTATAAAAATTATAGCGTGTTCAGGCCTAAATAAAAAAAGTAATTTGCTGAGCATAATAGTGAATAAATTGGCCTTGCTAAATTATTAAGCTATTACATGTTGGCTTTTATCAGCACAATGCCTCTTAGTGTCACAACAGTAACATGCAGCTACTTACGACTG